TCGGTACTTTTTCTGGTAAGTTTCATGCATGTTTGGTATGTGGATAAAGAAATGGAGCAGAATTCGAGGAATTTCCCGCCATAAGGTTTGTATGGTTCTGCCAATTTCGGTGTAAAAAAAGCAGAATCCGCCACCTTTTCGAGCATTATCCGCCAAGGCCTAACGCGCACATGGACATGAAGTGTGAAAATTGAGGTTGGCGACAGGATTTTCGTGTGTTACTTGAACTCCAACCGCCTCTCTGTATTCTCTGCGCGACCAGTGTGAATGCAGTTATCTTCCTACAGTCGTGGATCCGTCGCCTGGTGGAACGATAAAATCATTATAATGTACAAGTATTGAATTCGCTCAAATGTGCACCAGCGAGTAGATCTCCCTCACTCACATCTTACTTGGTGTCGGCCGATTTAGATGGCCATACGAGCATCAGACTGGAAGCTCACTCTGTTTTCGGCCATGTCTGTGGTCCCTCCTAATTGTGTCAACAATTGTCAGGCAATTTGAGGCCCGCTTTGGATTTTAACTCGCTCTCACGCGTATCCATTTCTTCAATGTAACATGTTCGGGTTAGGTACACGCAATGGCTGAACGAAGGGCAGCAGGACTATGACGTGCCTGTGTGTCTGTATGTGTAGCCATGTAGGGGCGTGAGCCCGCCTTTCGGCACCGGGAGGAGTTGCAGGTCGCTCGACTCAACTCTACCGAGTGAAAAGCTGTTTTGGAGGTCACAGCATTGCGAACGACTAAGGATCATCAAAGTGTTTGTTCTACACATCCATGTGCGGATACCTACTTCCTCTGGTGTCTTGTGTTCACCGGCATGGTGTTCGTGGCGCTGAAAGCGGAGCCTTTGCCCTTAGAGACTCTCTAGGTTTATCCCTGGTGACGTTTGGGGACAGGAAACCAATATAAATGTAGTGCTCGGCAGTCACAAACGTCCTTAGCCTAAAATCGAGCTTCACTAATGAGGGGTGTATTCTCCGAAACATTGTGAATTGAGCAGAGAGCGGTGGTTTCTTGCTGGGTGTGCTGAGTGGAAAATACGTGTCGAGTCTAGTCGGAGGGAAACGCGCTAGCTCGAACTTTCCAAACAATCATCTTTCTTTATAGCTAAGACGCTATACAATTCGGAGTCTCCTATAAAAGTCCTGAACAAAGGCACGAGAAGTCCAGACATAAAGGTATTTTCATCTACATGTAGATTTTGCATTGCACGACAACAAGAGTCATTGTAGGTTAAGTGATTAGTCTAACGCACCTGGTTGGTTTGCATTTTGTAAAGAAACTTTGACCAAGCGGAGAATCTATAAATTCTAGAATCCATAAATTGTATGGATTCTCGACTTGGTCGAAGTAATTCCATCCTGCAGTAAAATTGGGCTCTAGAGTCTAGTGAGTCTAGTCTACCATTGAACAAATCCTGCATTGGGCGAGCAGTTGATTTTGGCATGCGCATTCCCATCATTCGAAGTTATCAAGATGAAACGCTGCCATTATGTTGATTAACGGGCTGCAGATGCATGGCGGCGCCATCGATTAGCCACGCGCTGCCCAATAACGTAAGTCGTTAGTTCACACACTGTCGATGTATAGCCGTCACCTCCCCATAGACACAACTACAATTAGTATACAGTTTGAAGTTGTATTGCATTCTATTTTTCACATCATAAATAGAACGGATAAGTCAGCCCAGTATGACGACGACGGTGGGACAAGGAAGAGAAAGCTACCCCAAGGCCATCAAGACCCAAGACGTCCCACGTTACGCTTGCACCGTGTCACGCAAGTGTCAAGTCAAGTTGGCGGAAAAACCGCGAGCCCGCCAACGTCGACTTTCTTCGTAAATGGACCACAATATTAATTTGGTGTCACAGATCAACAAGGACAATCAAGGCTTGTTTGCTGCTACTGCAAGTTTCATGCTCTCACATTACTCGCAATCATCAGGCAACAACTGGATTGTCCTTGTTGTTCTGTATTACGCTCTGCCTCCGCGGTGTTGAGCACTGTCAGCACACTGGGTACATCCTCCGGGTAATTTGGAGTCACAAAACTGAAACATCGAGCACCGGTATGGAAAGGCTTTAGACGGAAAGCCTTTCCAATATTAATGTAGTGATTGATGCTAGAAAAAGGCAAACACTCGACAGCCGCTATTGTGTCCCTCGGGGCACCTGTGATGCCTCCACCACTTTGTTTTGGTGCTCTTCGTCTGGGAATGCAGCGGGCAGTGCTAACCAGGGAGTAGTAGGAGAGACTCGTATTTTCGCCACTCCCCGAGTAGAATTTGCTACTCCCTGATGCGAATCAACTCATGCGGTGAATACATTGCTCGACATCTAGTCTCCAATTTCCATGCGTAGTCTAATAAAATCTACTTCAGTATTGACAAACCGACTACATGTACATGCACATGCACATCTACCTGCACGAGAAACAATGGAAGGAGTAAGGATGCAGCTCAGAGCCCATGATGAGGGAATTCAATCAGCCATGACCAGATGACGGGTGTAGCTGTTCAGCTTGTGGCGTGTTGCACTGTAAATCACGGCCACTCTTTTACAATGTGTGACATAAGCAGGCGCTGGGGCTGTCCCCAGCGGAAAGTGCCAAAGGCAAAGCCAAAGGGTGAATTTTCCTGTGAGACGATATTCGCCCTGCGGCGTTTTCCCCTGGAGGCAGACCGGGCACAGCCCACGCACGCTCCTGCTTACGTTCATGTACGTGTAACACACTGTCTGTGAAAATCAACACCTACATGTGTGTATGTACATGTACATGTAAGTACATTTGAAATTAATTACTGCATGACAGTCACTCAATGAATGATTTTCTCGGATTGTGTTGGCTTTTTAACAACAGCAACATTGTTTTGAGTTCTGCCCATACAGGAGGCGTTTATTACAGTGCATTATGAACAACATGCAAGTACATGTACACCTAACGTTGTGTATCAGACTCCACACGCCCAGGGGGTGTAGGCAGCCAATCGCAGGTCGATACCGTGACGATAATATTTTTCATTATATTGGCACATCAGCAGTTTTGAGTTTTCCCACCTACCGTTTCCCCTCCTTCCGCATCCCTGACCTCGAGACCAGGGGCAATCTCTCTATCGGATTAGCAAGGTTACCAACATTGTTGATCGATGTAGATTATAGAGCATACGCTTAAACTACCAGGACCACCATAATAATACTAGTGCTACCAGTACTAGTGTGACCAACGTTAGCTGGCATTGTGTCATCTCATGTGTGTTTGAACGTGTTTTGAAAGGAAAGCAGATTGTGCGTGGGTAATATCAAGAGTGTACCATAATAATACACACGTTTTCACTTACGTGAGTGCTAATGTGACAGACCAGTAGTAGTATTATACAGTAATTCTGTTGTTCCAGTAACTGTATTGAGTGTCAAGCAGACAGCGTAAGAATGGCAACTTTACAATTGCGTACAATGTATACGTGTGTAGTGGAGCCAGTTGACTCGGAACAGCCAATATCCACTGGAGAAATGTTTTAACGAACCTACGTTCTTGTAAAATACGTTGACTCATTCAGCGTTCAGTGTCCGAGTATGAATGCCTGCCACGAGGCTCTGCATTCTGAGTTATTTTGAAGTGTATTCTGATTCACTGGTGATTGATCGAGTTCCCCCTGCGACCGGGTAAGAGCACAAGTGCAGATATCAACAGGACAGACTGCGACTGGGAACCGCTTGAGGAGCTGCATTGGCACTTTCATCCTTGAGGGTGGTTGCAGATGCAATGCTTTTACAACACAAGCTAATGTTGCTAAAGTCCTGGACACCGCGAGGGCAGACCCAAGGGAGAAGTGGTGCGAAGCCAATACAAGTACTTATAATTATTATCACTATGACTTTATCAAAGGGCAATGAATTCGTGTCCACGCCAAGTGTTATACTATTTTAGCTTTGAAGTATGTAAATTTTTCAGTACTCGCAAACTTGGATAAGGATTTTAAGAGGTAACCCAAACTCCCAAAGACAATTTGTACCTTTGTCAAACCTGTCAGTATCCCCAAGGGGCTTACCGGTGATACTGCTACTGAGTGCTGATTGTCGACATCCATACATTTATCAGTAAAACTCTTTGGGTTTCAGTAAAAATCCGTTGCTCCTCGGCTGCAGAGCTAGAGTCCTAGATAGAGTAGTAGAGAGCCCTGCTGAGTCTACTACACCACATGTACTTGAAGTATGTATCAGTACGAACAGTCCTGCAGACTCATCTTCTTGTTATGTTGTGATAAGTTGATAAGTGGCTGCAGACAGTGCAAGCTCATGGTTGTTTTTGATTTGTCACTGAGTATGTAGCGGCACAACACGTATGACAGCTAAGGAGGTCATGAATCGACAACCGTAGCCAGGACTCGAGTCTTGAACTAATCATGGCCAGTCAAAACACAATGATCAGTTTGACACTTTGACAGGAGCAGCATCTCAGGACGTGTCTGTGCCAGTGTGTCCATGCAGCCTTGGCGTGAGACTGACGAGTGGGCTGGAGATCTACAACACTACAAGCAGTCATTCCACCCTGAGGCCTGTCCCTGGCTCGTGAGGTGGATCATCCTAGGCCAGGCTAGGGTAGGTAGATCTACTAGATACAGTACACTTCACTGCCCATGCGTGGTGTCGTGGTCACGCTTTCAGCAGTCTATGTCTATGACCTCCCTCGCGGGTTTACTGACACTGCATGACAGGAACGCGTAACGACACTGTGAGTTCTGAATGGAGAGTCAGATGAATTTTCTTCTGCTCACATTCGCAGCGTAATTATTAGACAGGCTACTGGTGTGACAGGAAAGATGGTGTGAATGCTATCCACAATCTTGCGTTGACAAGCCTCTGGAAAAGGACAGAAACACTGTCTGTGCAGCGTGCTGTCGCCTTTGCCGTCAGCACTCTTGCTGAACTCCGACCCGACCGGCCTGCCTTTGTGTAGGGTTTATAGCTGCTCGCCCGGCGTGTGCGCTGCTCAGTTTG